TAAGGACCAGGGTTCAAATCAATTACCCAGTTCTTCCAAAGCTTGATTTTCCACTTGGGCAAGATCCATTCACAAAGTAAACCACTTGGGTACAAAAACACTTGAACGACAGACATGTTTAGGGTGATTGCGGGTTGTCTCTCCGAAAAAAATTGGTTAATTACAGCACCAATACCAGTCCAGATAATACCAATAAGATAGACTCTAAAAGTTTCAACAGGGAGGGTTGGATCATCAAATGGACGAGTGACAGCTCTGACTTCAGGGTATGGAGACCAATAAGCAATCAAGACTGCTTCCAACCTAACTTGCAAATCCCAGTCAACAATCTCTGGCTTTCCGGTTGAAGGGTCATTTGAATGTGCTTCATCACCATAAGAAATTGCTGTGACCTTCACTGGGTTTCCCTTTTCGTCAATTGAGGATTCCGATTTCTTCTCATCTTCGGCGTGATGAAACCCATGTGAGTTGTAATCAACCAACTCTCTCCACAATTCCAAGTCGTGATCTTGTACATTGACGTCATTTTCGTGTTCTGCAATAGCATCTTTCAAAATTTCAATGGCCTCTTGCGTTGGCATTTGTTCGATTTTCTCAAAAATGAACGTACATTCTGGTGGTAACTGATCGAAACTGGTCAACGCATCAAAGTGCAATCTTCTCAATACAAAGTTCTTCTGAGCATCGGTTAATGTAGTACCAACCTCACCAATAGACAAAGGATTTGACAAAACAGCATCCAAGTTCACCTCGTGATCTTGTGTTTCTAAATGACTACCAACACTGTGGACTGATGTTATTGGAGCTGCGCTCAGAGCAACCGGGTGAATATTCTTCTCACTGCTCATAGTATAAAAGGAAGACGATTGTGGCCAACTATGTATAGAGGAAATTGATAAATATTCAAAGAGAACGAAAACAGCACGGTCTGCTAATTATATATCCCGCATTTCTGCCCTCTTCAGAACAATAGCATAGATATCTATTGTCAATATTGTGCCGTAGAGGACAATGCATTACCCATCTTTGGCCTCGCGCGGTGTTATTCTCTTTGTACCAGAAAACAATGACATTTACTCGTACGGCACGAGATATGGGTGTGAATTTGTGTCGATTGTTTCACTAATCACGAGGCATCACTTAATTGGGATATCCACAATTTGTGATTGAATTAAAAGTAGCAGATATGTTTATACTGTTGCGGGGTCTGGCAATGAGTGAATGACGGGCATTTCGAAGTTCTTTGCAGTCAATGGAAACCCTCACCGAATTTGACAGCGATATTTTTCTTAGCTTTCGAATGAGACTGGCGTTTGATTCTGCAAAGAGCTCCATAATCAAAGACTACTAAGTAACGGGGAGTAGAAGGGTCTATTTTTATGCAGTACAAATGATAGGTAAGAAAAGGATTATCTCTTAAATTGAACGGCATATTGTAAAATTTTTTTTTGCTCACAGGTACCACACAGTTTTCTTTTTTTTTTTTTTCTCGAATTGCGTCTTTCAAAGATAACTCTAAAATTGTGTCAAGCTCTTCTAAAAATAGTAACCGAAGGTCAAATCAGCGAAAGCAAAAAAAAAAAAAAAAAAGTTTGCACGAGAAAGCAGCAGCAACTATCAGATCAGGTAAAATAGTGGTGGCTAGTACAGAGACGCTTATTCATGACTATAGTGTCAGACCATATTTTCAAGTTGAGCGATTTATTTTGACGCATCTTTGAGCTATGCAAGGAATGCTAAATGAAGAATCTTTTTCTTTTTTTTTTCTTTTTTCATCCATTTTTGTTCCCGCGCTGTCAAATTTAAAAAGAAATTTGAGATTCATGTCTTATCGGATATTCCTAACTTATTCCCCTTGTTCTTTTTTGAGTACAGAGTATATGACAAGAGAGAGCCAGTACCGAATTTTTACTCTATGTGTTCTGAAGAAATTGAATGATACTCACAATAGAAGATTCTTCTCTACTGAACTTTCAGAATTGCGCTTTGATCTGATGTGATCCTTGTCGAGCTCGATGCATTTTGTTTCTCAGTTGTAGTAATCGGCATTTTTGTATACTTTGTCCTTACTACATTTTAGTTGCCTTCATTTTTAGTGTAATCTTATTGGAGGATAAGCTAAGCAACTGTTCGGCGCCACAATAGTATCGTTTCAAACTATCGAAGGTTATACATCACTAGGTTTGTGTATTGTATATTTCCCTGTTTGATTTCGCTTGAAATGGCATGACAGAAATGGGCCAATTTTTGAAAGCAGATATGTGATAGGAAATTCTAAATAGGTTAGACTGCTTCCGGTTCAAAGTTGTCTCAAATGACTCTTTCAAGATTTCCGCCTGGAAGTGTTAACTCAAGGTGAGTCTCGCTAGTTAGTCATGAGATGATATCATCATTTTGAGCAAGATGGTGGAATATCCATCTCAGGAGCTGCCTGATTAACCACACTTTAGCTCTGTCACTCTTTTTCAAAAAACGTTCAATTAATTGAAAAAGTTTACTTCAAAGAAGCTATACCTTCGTTTTTGTGTTAGGTAGAAAATATTCTTCTTTTGTGACACTAAAGCTCATATTTTTTTATCACGTCAAATCAGTCAAGTATGGCTACACTTACAATAGCAACAAAAAAGCGCGATTCTGTGAGCCCGTTAAAGTGCCGGCACTTTCGTCTCATGGAGGTACAAAAACCTTCTAATAACCCATTGTCTACAATTTGTTCTGCTTTGAATTTTGATTCGGCTTTGCTTTGCTCTAGTCAGCTTTTGGTGCGAGCTTCAAAACAGTCTGTACTCAACTACTTGTACTTTATCTTTTTACTACACCAACGCCGATTCAAATCTTCTCCTTATATTAAATAATATTATCGAAAACGAATTATAAACGAAAAGTAACGATGAATCACTATGGAAAGTGACCCTTTCTTGGTCCAAAATATCCATCTGGAGCCAGTTCAGTAGCATTCAATCTTCCTGTCATATTTCCATCATACCCAGTGTAGACAACCGTGTTACCCCACCAGTTGATGTCC